AGTCAATTTAAGTCAGACAATAATTGTAATTAGTTTATTTAATCCTGTGAGTAGTAACTGCAATTTTAAGTCAGACGCAACTATGTTTCACTACAAATCAATACCAGTAAGAATGCATTTACATTGTCATTAATTTACTTATTTCTGAAAGTAGTAAAATAATGTTTGAATCTGACAAGTATTTTTAATTTTTTTATTTAATCCTTTAAATAATATAAATCAACTTAAGTCAGGCAAAGCACAATAAATAGTTTATTAAACCCTAAGTAGTAAAAACAATTTTAGTCAGACAAACCTTTTTAATTTTTTTTCTTTTATCCTTTAAGTAGAATAAGTCAACTTAAGTCTGACAAAACTTTGTAATTAATTTATTTAATACTTTTTGGAAGTAGAATAAGTCAACTTAAATCAGACAAAACTTAGTAATTAGTTTATTAAACCATAAGTAGTAAAAGCAAGTTTAGTCAGGCGAAGCTTTTTAATTTTTTTATTTAATCGTTTAAGTAGTATAAGTCAACTTTAGTCAGACAAGTCTTTTTAAATTTTTTAATTAATCCTTTAAGTAGTATAAGTCAATTTAAGTCAGACTAAAAACAAAACTTTTTTTATTAGTCTATTTAATTTTTTTTTGAAGTAGTGTAAGTCAACTTAAGTCATTCAAAACATTGTGCTTAATTTAGTTAATTCTGCTTATAAGTAGTATAAGTCAATTTAAGTCAGACAAAAACATTGTTATTAGTTTATTTAATCCTTTTTTGAAGTAGTATAAGTCAACTTAGGTGAGACAAAACTTAGTAATTAATTTATTAAACCCTATAAGTAGTAAAAGCAGTGTTTAGTCGGACTTTAAGTCGGAGCTTAAAGTCAATTTAGATCCAGAAAAAATATTTTTAAATAGCTTATTTATTTATATAAGTAGAAAAATAAATTTTTAGTCAGACAAATCTTTTTATTTAATAGTTGTAATTTTCGTTGGAAGTAGTTGATTGAATTTTTACCTCAAAAACAATAACTTTTCCATTAATCTATTCCTTAAGTAGTAAAAACTACTTTAAGGCAGACAATTAACCAAATTTAGATTTTATTAAAAAATTTAATTTTATAATTTTATCGATATTAAAAATAATTGTTTCTAAAATTGAAAAAGTAATATTTTTTTCAATAATACTCATTAAAATCTAACAAACTCTGAAAATCAAAATTGTAAGATAGCTTCAGAGAATACATTTCTAACTTTTAGTTAGTACTGAGTGAGTTGGCTCAGTGGCGACACTACACTGAAAAAAGAGTATTCTACTTTTAAGTATATTATATTCTTAAAGAAATATTCTAAATTATATTCTTATCGATGAAAGAAATATTCTTATTTTGAGAATATCTTCTTGGCAAGCTAAGAAAATATACTTACGATAGAGCGTGCTGCGGTCGCCATAACGCGTTTTCGTTTTCTCATTCGTTTAATTGGTTTTATAGTGTGTGCGACGCAGTGTTGAGTTTTAATTTTGTGTGTTTATTTATTAAAAATGAATTAGATGTAATTAATAACAATAAATTATTTAGATTATTATTACTATTTTTAAAAATAGATTAATTTAATTATTATTAAAAGAATTATTTACGTAAATTTGACAGGTAATGTATATTTTAACCTTAAAGTAAAGACACAAGAGATAAGTTGTTCAATCTATTTATCTTATTATTATTAATATAGTTTTGACCGACCAAATTTTATTATAATAAAAAATATTGTTATTACAAAATTCTATCCAAAATTTTGTTTCGAAAAAATTTATTTAAAAAAATAAATATTTTTTTAACTTAAGAAATATTTTGATTATATCAAATAGTTTTATCAAATTTCATATTTTTGGCATATATTATCATTCCAAAATTATGTCTATTTAATTGAAAATTTATTATTTAGATCATAAATTAAAAATATTATTTCCAGAAACCCAAAAATATTATGTGCTTATAAATTCAAGAATATAATAATATTCTTAATATAAGAAGAACGGCTTAATAGGTTAAGAATATATTCTCAAAAGAGATTTTTAGAATATATTCTTATTTAAAGCATATTCCCCACTTACACTAAGAAAATATTCTTGGCGCTCATTTAAGTGGCGAATATTCTAACGTCAAGTAGAATATCCTTAAAGTTAGAATACTCTTTTTTCAGTGTACTTGTCTCACAAGAGCAGCAAGGGGACGGTTCGGGGTTCGATTCTTCGCGACTGTGGAATTTTTTCGGCTCGGTGAAACTAGCGACCCGCCGGCCGCAAGCCATCAGAAAAATTCATAGGCGCCGACACACATAGTAGCGCGGTGGCCCTATGCGATTCAATCAACGCAAAAACAACGTACGTTTGCTATTACAGTTTACAGAAAAAAATTGCAATAGTCACATTTTAAAGAGCAATAATCCCCCTTTAATTTGTGACCAAGAAATAAACATTTGGTATAAAATTGTTCGAATTTTTGATAGCCAGCGTCCCACCCGCCCGTATCAGAAAAACCAAAATTGGGAAAAAAATCGGAAAAAAAATCATAACTCGAACAATTTCAGACCAAATGCTTATTTCTTGGTCGGAAATTAAAGGGGGATTATTGCTCTTTAAAATGTGACAATTGAAAATATTTTTAATAAATTTTTGATAGCCAGCGTCCCCACCCGCCCGTATCAGAAAAACGAAAATTGGGAAAAAAATCGGAAAAAAATTCATAACTCGAATAATTTTTGACCAATTCTTTGTTTCTTGGTTGCAAATTAAAGAGGGATTAATGGTCCTTAAAATGTGACCAATAAGAATTTATTTAAAAAAATTTTGATAGCCAGCGTCCCCACCCGCCCGTATCAGAAAAACGAAAATTGGAAAAAAAATCGGAAAAAAATTCATAACTCGAATAATTTTTGACCAAATTCTTGTTTCTTGGTCACAAATTAAAGAGGGATTAATGGTCCTTAAAATGTGACCAATAAGAATTTATTTAAAAAATTTTTGATAGCCAGCGTCCCCACCCGCCCGTATCAGAAAAACGAAAATTGGAAAAAAAATCGGAAAAAAAATCATAACTCGAATAATTTTTGACCAAATGCTTATTTCTTGGTCGGAAATTAAAGGGGGATTATTGCTCTTTAAAATGTGACAATTGAAAATATTTTTAATAAATTTTTGATAGCCAGCGTCCCCACCCGCCCGTATCAGAAAAACGAAAATTGGGAAAAAAATCGGAAAAAAATTCATAACTCGAATAATTTTTGACCAAATTCTTGTTTCTTGGTCACAAATTAAAGAGGGATTAATGGTCCTTAAAATGTGACCAATAAGAATTTATTTAAAAAATTTTTGATAGCCAGCGTCCCCACCCGCCCGTATCAGAAAAACGAAAATTGGAAAAAAAATCGGAAAAACATTCATAACTCGAATAATTTTTGACCAATTCTGTGTTTCTTGGTCGCAAATTAGAGAGGGATTAATGGTCCTTAAAATGTGACCAATAAGAATTTATTTAAAAAATTTTTGATAGTCAGCGTCCCCACCCGCCCGTATCAGAAAAACGAAAATTGGAAAAAAATCGGAAAAAAATTCATAACTCGAACAATTTCAGACCAAATGCTTATTTCTTGGTCGGAAATTAAAGGGGGATTATTGCTCTTTAAAATGTGACTATTGCATTTTTTTTTGTATAAACTGTAATAGCTAGCGTACGTTTTTTTTGCGTTGATTGAACCGTATAGGGCCACCGCGCTACTATGTGTGTCGGCGCCTATGGATTCTTTTGATGGGTGGCGGCCGGCGGGTCGCTATTTTCACCGAGCCAATTTTTTCTGTCAAAAAATTTGAATTGAAAAAATCTTCCGTTAAAAATTGAAATCAGAGAAATTTCCATTCAATTAAATTTAAGGTGCATTTCACAATTTATTGAAAATTGTTATTAAATAGTTATTTTAAAATAAAAATTTATTATTTATAATTAAATTTATTATTACTTATAATTATATGAATATAATTACTCTACTAAATTCTGTTGTACTACCATGAAAAAAAATTATTTGACTCAAATAACCGATTAGTTGACTATTTTCAATTAAATATTTACTTGAGTCAAATAAGGATTGTTTGTAAATATTTAATTACTTACAAGTAAATATTTAATTTACAATAGTCAAGTAATTGGTTATTTGAATGAAATAATCTTTTCTGTGTATAAATCAACTAAACTTTAAATATAAATAATAATTATAATTTAATTAATAATAATTAATGAAATAATAATTATTTTACAATTTTTTTTTATTAAATATTTTTTTTAAACTAAAATTAGTTCTTATTATAAATATAATAATCATAATAAATAATTTTTTCCATAGAAAAGAAAAAGTTTTTTAAAGATTTTTTCAGTTCAAATTTTCCCGGTGGTTATAGAAATCTAAACTGTCATTCATCGGTAAGAAAGAGCCGAAAATTTCAAAATTATAAAAAAAGGAAAATAATTTACTCATTTCGATGAAAATAGAATTTTAAAAATTTACCACTTTAGATATGAAAGAAACTATATTTTATTTTTATTACTATTTTGTTTAAAAATGCAAAAAACAAACAAAAGTTCGTTTCTAGAAATTTTTAAACATGAATTTAACTGTAATTTTCAAAAATAACACACATTTACTATAACTGTCAAAAATAGAAAAAATCAATAAAAGTCACAGTTACAAAAAAGGAAAAAATTTGAAAATAAAATCAATTACTCCAAAATAATAAAATAATAACTAATAATATTAGAATAATAATATTATTAAATTGTTTAATTATAAAATTCTAAAATTAAGGGAAAAATCCTCAAAAGAATTGAGTAAATAAAAAATGAGTATAAATTTAAAAAAAGGAAAAAAAGTAACACAAAATTAACAAGTATCGAAAATTTCTCATTGTTCACGCCCAACTTAACCTTAACGCAGAGTTTTCTCTCCAATTGCTCCAAACTGACGTTTTACAATGTATACCTCTCTTATACTATACAGAACTGACGCATAAATTTTAAAATGGCGTCGACTCGTCCACACACAGCACATCGAATGTTGTGCATAGAAAAAATGTAAAAATTAATATTAAACAAAAACATAAGTGCGCATTCAATTGAAACAATTGAATTTGATTTTCAACCAAGTTGACAAATTTTTATTCAATGAAATGTTGTTAACAATCACAAACTATTAATTATGACGTGAAATTATAATTAAATGTCGGAAAAAATAAAGTATGAACGTTATAGACGACGCCGATGGGCCATTGGATCCCCGTATTCAGGTAAATAATAACACTTCTTTTTTTCCTCTTCATTTAGAAATTGAAAAAATTTTCCAACTCTCATATATAGTTTCATTTTTAATCATTCCCTAAATAGTAATCTCCAGACAGTGTCAATTTTTATCAACAACAATTAATGTGTTGATTACATCTAACTGATACCTCCTGGCACCTTGTCCCACTTTATTTATTATTTAATCTATTTTTCTAAATAAATTTTTTCATTTACTCTCAATTTATAATGACAATTTTTTTTATATTTATTTTCAATCATTCAATTTTTAATATCAGAAAATATTGAATAAAAAATTTAAAGAATAAAAGAATTTTAGGAATAATTTACTCCAAAATGGACTTTAATTCCTTTTTTCGAAATTATTTGAATATTTAAATAACGGTTTTTTTTAATTTAAATAAAAACTGTGTGACTATTATCATTTTAAACAAATTTGCTTTCAATGAGTCATTAGAAACAATTTAATGGTTTGTGTGTAATGTGTCATATTCATTCAACCTCGAGACACATTAAATGTCGATACTTTGTTTTGATCTTGGTTTTACACTCAAACAATGATCATGATCATGATGATGATGATGATTCGAAATTGGATATCAAGGTTCAATTGAAATGGAAAAAAAAAATTTTTTTATTAAAAAAGGTTCCTTTTTTTTGTCAGTAAAAATTTATGGTTCACGAAGAATCTGAATGGACAGTCGACATAAAAGTTACTTCAATGCTTACTGATAATTATTATTTTTGTTTTTCAAATTTTACTCCAATTTCGTATTTTAAATACAAACAAAATTTTTTTAAGTCAATTTTAGCGAAAGAAAAATAAACAAAATTTTGAATATTTCAAACAATTAAACGTTGTATTTAAGTAAAAATTACAATATTTTTAGTAATGGAAACTTTTTCGAGTGTAACATAACCTAAAATTTAACAATGATCCCAAAAATCTGAAAGTTCAAATGAACGAAATTTATTTTTTCCTTCTTCAAATTAAATTTTTATTACAATAATTTTGCGTTATTATAAAAAAAAAATTAATTTCAAAGTTTTTAAATGTGAAATTGAAGTTTGTAAATTTTTGCAAAGTAATTTATCAAAATGTTTTTAATAATAAACATTACGTTCATTTGAACGTTCAAAACTTGAGGATGATATTTAACAAACGTTTCAATTTTGTTTTAACAAAAAAATTATAATTTTACTAAAAAAAATTATGATTTTACAAAAAAAATTATAATTTTACTAAAGAAAATTATGATTTTACAAAAACAAATTGTTATTTTTATTCAAATACAACTTTTAATTGTCTAAAATATTCAAAATTAAATTCTTCATCTTATCACCAAGAGGAATTTTCAAAATTATAATTTTTATTCAAATGCAATTTTTAATTGTCTAAAATACTCAAAATTAAATTCTTTACCTTATTGCCAAGAGGAATTTTCTATTTAATTTGCTTTTTTCATTTAAAATACAGGAAATAATTGAATTGAACTAATTTTTGTTCCGACTGTTTCTCGGATTCTTCATTAAGTATATATGTAATTACTGTTACAGGGATTATTAAATTATTTTGTTTTGTTATTACTTCTTTCTTATTAATTTTTACTTATTATTAATTTTCTCTTATTTCTATTGTTTTCTTATCACTTTTATCTATTTTTATTTTTTTTAATTTGAAATTTTAATTTTTAAATTATCAAAATTATCATATATAATTCAAAATTTTCTAAAAGCGTAAATAAATATATATGTAAAAAATAATAAATAAATAAAAATAAATAAATAATAAAATAAATAAAAGAAAATATAATAAAATAATAATGATAAACGATTGGTATACAGTCAACCAAAAATTATTTTTGAATTAAACATAATTTTTATTTAATACACAATAAGTTTTATTCAATAAAAATTATGTTTACTTCAATTACGAAATATGTTTAATTCAAATATATTTTTTGGTTGGCTACTTATTTTTCAATTAAAAAAAAAATTTTCTCAGTAGCATATTTTTGTATTTTTAATTTTTTAATACATTATTTTTTAATCCTATTATTTTTGTTATTATTTATTATTTTTATTATTATTTCTTCAATTTTCTAATTATTAAAGTTACAACGGAATTTACAATTTTCCAAAAGAATAAACAAATTAAGTAAATAAAATGATAAGTAAATTGTAAATAAATTATAAGTGAAGAAAAATGAATGAGAAAATATAATAAAATAACTGTTATAACTTAAAAGTATCAAATGGCAGCGAATTGATACCAAAAATGTGGATCAAATCAAAAATTTAGATCAATTTTCAATATCAATTTGATCCACTTTAGTATCAACTTGATACTTTTAAGAAAACTGTGATAATAATAATGATAGTAATAAGTAATCGTATTTTTTATATTTTTAATTTTTAAATATATTTTTTCTTATTATTATTATTATTTTTTTAATTATTATTGTTATTATTATTATTTTAATTTTTAAAAATATGGAAGTTATGATATAATTTTAAATTTTCTAAGAGTCTAAACAAATATATTTAAGTAAAAAAAAGATAAAGAAATTAGAAAGAAATTGTAAATAAATAGAAATGAATAAGAAAAATATAATAAAATTGTAAGAATAATAACAATACTAATAGTAATAATAACAATAATTGTACACTGAAAAATTGTATTTGATTCAAAATATACTTTTTAACTCTTATCAAATAAATATTTACTTGAATCAAATAATTTTTATTTAAATCAACTAAATGGTATTTGCCTCAAATACTGATGAGGATAATTATCGATTCAAATATAATTTATTTGATTCAAATATAATTTAATTCACTCAAATAAAAATTATTTGATAACAATAACAGTGGTAATAATAAAAATAATTGTAGTAATAATAACAATAATAATAGTAACAGTTAATGGTTTTTACTGTTGGGCTTTGTAATAATTTATAAATAAATAAAAAATAAAAATAATATTGACAAAAATAATTGTAAATTATTATTAATAAATATTGGAGTTCGATTATATTGAGATTTTTGAACAACATGAATGAATCTTTTGTTGCAGATCGAATTGGAGAGTTTAAACAATGCAACAGATAATATTAATAAACTCGAGATAGAGTTAGATGTGAGTATATAAAAGTGTGCTTTTTCATTTCATAATATTCTAAAAATAACAATCTCTATGAATGTGACTGCATTTGCTTACTGTATCATCTTTCTCACAGAGCCATCATTTTGTCTCTCATTTTATTTATGAATTCAAAAGAAGAGGATGTCTCCAATCATTTATAATTGTATTTTCATATTTCGCCGCGCATTCAATACGATTTATGCGATTACTAATTATTTATTCATCCAAGCATTTGTACCAGTATTATTACAAAAAAAAATAATGTGCTCTTTCATTTTATAAAGTAATTAAATCTACATTTACATGCCAATTAAGTAAATATGCAGAAAAATGATTTCTATACAATTATTATTTATAGAGCTTTCTCTTTCAATTAAAGAGATTTTTTTTTTGTCAATTAAAAGAAATTTTCTCTAAAAGGGAACTTTTTTATCAATTAAAGGGAGTTTCTGACTAAATTAAAGGGACTTTTTCGAATAAATTAAAGCGACTTTTCGACTAAATTAGACTAAAAAATAAATGCATTTGATTCAAGTAACAACTTGTCTATTATCAGATAAATATTTACTTGAATAAAATTAATATTTACTTGGACCAAATAAATATTTGCCTAAATCAAATATTTACTTGCATCAAATAAATATTTACCTGAATTAAATATTTACTTGCATCAAATAAATATTTACCTGAATTAAATATTTACTTGCATCAAATAAATATACGCCTGAATCAAATAAATATTTACCTGAATCAAATATTTACTAGCATCAAATAAATATTTACTTGAATCAAATAATTTTTATTTAAATCAAATAAATTTGAACCAATAATTATTTGAAACAATTATTCTCTTTATTTGAAGCAAATTATTTACTTGAATTTACTTGAATTATTTACTTGAATAACAATTATTTCGTACGAATTTAAATTCATTATTATAAACCATTTTTTAATCATTATTAATGGTTTATTATAATAATAATAATAATAATAATTTTTTTGACAACAGTAAATAATATTCGATTGTTAGAATAATGACCTGAATTTAAATTAACGATAAAATTATCATAAAGAGAAAATTTACAACCAATGATGCGTAATTAAAAATCATTGATATGTAGATAATAATTTTCCGACGATATGAAACATTTAGGAAATTGTTTAATGCAAAAAGAATAATTTTTAGGAAAGCTTTTTCCATTAAAGAATTTATTTTTTTCGCTTTCGGTAAAATTAAAAATATTTAGTTTAAATTCAATTTGTAATTTTCTAATTATTCAATTATTTTCGAAAGTAGTAAAACTCTTCTCAGAAATGCAATTATTTTCAAAAATTTTAATAAAATTCTTTAATCCTTATTAATTCAATGATTTTTTAATATCTACTACTATATAATAAAAATTCCTAAAAGAATTCAATCTGTCGAAAAAATTTTTAATAAAATTCTACGCAAACATTTAATTATTTTCATAAATAATAAGAATTTCACATGAATTCAATTATTTACAAATTATTTTCATGTATTATTCAATTATTTTTATTAATAATAAAACTCAATGCTGAATTTCAATTATTTTTAAAACAATTTCAATGGAATTCCTCGAAAATAGTTATCTTCTTAAAATTTTTATTAAAATTTATCAAAGAAATTTAATTATTTTAATAACCTTTGCTAAAATTTATTTTTAGAATTTAAGTATTATTTTCAAAAATTTTAATGAAATTCTTTGCGTAACAATTCAACTTTTTTCAAAATAATTTTAATAAAATTCTTCTCAGAAATCCAATTATGTTTAACAATTTACGAAAATTCTTGTCAAAATTTAAATTATCTTTATGTATAATAAAATTTTTCTCCAAAATTCAGTCATTTTCAAAACTTTTAATAAAATTCTTGGTTAAATTTCAATTATTTAAAATAAAATTTTCATCTAATTTCTCGAAAAATGCAATTATTTTTAAAAATTTTATTAAAATTTGTCAAGAGAATTCAATTATTTAAAAATTTGTTTATAAAATTCTTTATTAAAAAATCAATTTTAAGAAACATTCAATTGTTTAATAAAAATAATATTTATTTTTATAGTTAAATAATTGAATTCTCGTAGAATTTTCAAATAAATAGGTATTGATTTAAAAAAATGAATTTCAAATTAAAATCTTTAAAAATTTGAATTTTTTATACTTTTAATTAATAATTCTATAGAATTAATTTTTCTCAATAAGTTTAATGGAATTTTTTTTTAATTATTTAAAGTTTTTAATTTCTAATATATTTAATTACAGAATGTCAATATAATCGAAATTTCGTAAAATTAAATTCTAAACAAAAGAATTTGAAAATTCACAAAAAACTTTTTTGAAAATAATTTTTAAAAAATTGACTTAAAGAAGAATTTTAGTTGAAAATTCTAGAAATGAATAAAATTTTTTTTTTGGTTTGCAGGACGCTAATACAGCGTACAAGCAATTGCTCTCTGACACTGGAAGAAGATCAGATGAAATAAAATGTAAATTAGGAAACAGTTGCATCGAAAAATCAAGATGCTACTTCCAAGCTTTAAAAGTGGTAGAAGAAGCACGAGTAAGTATTATCGATGATATTTTTCTAACTTCTATTTATTTCTTCTCTTATTTTTATTTCCTTGTTTTCACAATTTAAAAATTCATATTGTAATTAACTACTTTTTTGATAATTAGAAACAGTGTCAAAAGCAGGCAAAATTATTCTCGGGAGCAAACGAAATTCATGCAGCAGCCAAAGAAACTGTTGCTCTTGCCGAATCGAGATTTATGTCACATCAACACGAGTGGAACTTTGATGAAGCATGGCAGGATATGTTGAGCCACGCAACGATCAAAGTAAGCGAAATCAAAATTCTTTTTTTTTAATAAGTCCTTGATTATTTGAAAATAGAAATTGTGAGTGGGAGGCTCTATTGAATTATTCTTTTCTATTTCATATTCATATTTCACGTTCATCATTAAAATAGAAAATAAAAATGAACTCAACTGAAGAAGTCATAACTAAAACGGTTTTTTATAAAAAAAACAATAATTCTTTAAAAGATGATTGCGAATAATATTTTTTGCCTATACGGATTTTTTGTTTTCTAAATTGTTGATCAGTTTAATATTGTAAAATTTTGTTTGGACAAAAATAGTTTTCCTTCATAATCTAAAGCATTATGAACGCTATGAACTTCACGAAAGATTAAAAATTATAATTCTTTGCCAAGAAGCAAACAAGAAAAAAACCAACGTAGTTACTTAAAAAAACAAACGTTTTTCGATAAAAAAATTGTAATTTTTATTCAAATCCAACATTAAAATGTTTGAAATTCTTTTCCCTTCAGTGAGAATTTATAAAGCGAGGATAAATAAGAAAGTAAACTAAAAAATTAGGAAAAATCAATGTCAAATACTGACATTGAGGAAAAGAATGACAAATAAAATCTCAAGTGTGCGCGAATTTTAAAATCAATATTCGTCAACGACGCAGGAGATTATTACAATATGTCAATTACAGCTATTTGCGGTCAATAGATCAACGAACATTTCGTATTGTCCACAAATGCTAATAAAGTACTTTATATTCACGTACACTATCCAACATAAGTGGAAAGTTTTTGTAAATTGTTACATAAAATTTATCCGGTACTTTAAAAAGAAAATAACACCATTGTACCAAATTATACTTCTTTTGGTCAAAGTAACGGATTTTTATTTTCTCAATTTCACATTATTTATTTATTTATTTATTTATTTATTTATGACAAAAAAAGATCGCTTTTTAGAACCTGAACCAAAAAATTTATAGATTTAAAAAATTTGGAATAATAAAATATGCATCCGAAAGAATTAACTAGCAGATTGAACTTGAAGTACAAAAATTTAAATTTTCGAAGTTTAAGCACATTAAAATAATAGAAAATTATTAGAAAATAATAAAGAGAACAAAACAATAATTATTTGGTGAAAAAACAGGTGATGGATGCGGAGAACCAAAAGGCTGCGTGCGCAAGGGAACATCACAGACGGAAAATGCTTTTCGAGGAGGCGGAAAGAAAGGTCCAAGAATTAGAAGAAAAATACCGTCGTTCAATAAATAAGGCGCGTCCTTTTTTCGAAATGACAGCGGAGTGCGATAAAATGTTGGTCACACAAAAACAACGCGTCGAGGAATTACAGAAAAAAGTCAAGGAAGCAAAAAACGCTTATGCCGCTAGTCTGCGAACTTTGGAGGAAATTAGTAACCAAATACACGAGCGCAGAAGAGATTATGGTAAAAAAACTTCTTCTTCTTCTTCTTCTTTTTTATTTTTAATTAGAATTTTAATGATATATTATTTATATACTATTTTGAATTTCAGATATTGTAGCAAATGGACCGCGAGAGCCAGGTGTAGGAGCCGAGCTCATTACTCCCGAAGAAAGTCTCAACTATGAAGCGGAATTAAATAAAATTAAAATCAGTAGAATAAATTCAATAGCAAGTAGTGATCCTGACTTGGACGATCGAGAAAAGGATTTCGATGTAAGAATCAAATTTTTCTTTTCGATTTAATGCACAGAATTAACACACTTCAGGAAAATCAGTAAAATAATAGGGAATTTTATCAAAAGTACTAAAAAAATATCAAACTTCTAGAATTACAATTACAAAAGAAGATTTAGACGTCTAGAATTACTTCAAAAAATTCTGATTTTCCGTGCCCAAGCATAATTTTGAAAAAATTAAAAAACTTGAGTTTTCATTCAATTTTCTTTCAGTTGATTTCTTATTTCTGAAAATAATTAAATCTATTTTCAATAATTAAATTCTAGAATAACTTTCTTAAAGTTATTAATAGTAATAATTATAACTCAGAAAAGATTTTAGATAGAAACAGTTGCAATTTTCTTTTTCGTAAAAAATAATTGAATTTTCGAAGGTTTTAAAAAAAAATTTTTTTAAATTACAACTACTGTCAAGAAATTAATGAATATTCAATATTTATTTAAAAAATTGTTTAGTTTTTATATAATTTTATTTAAAATTCTGAAGGAAAACAGTTTTCAAAAAATATTAATTCAATTTTTTAAAAATATTTAAATTTAAAATTTTCTTTAAAAATAAACATTTTAGAAAATTTTATTTAACATTCTGAAGAATTAGGTTTTTAAATTATTTCAGTTTTATTTTTTTAAAATATTTTATTTTTTGGAAATAATTAAAATTTTCTAAAATTAAATTGAAAATAATTTTATTATTTAAGAATTTTAATGAAAATTTATTTTTTCACAGAAATAAGATTTTAAAAATATCAATTTCCAAGAATGTCCAAAAATTTTAACTTTCAAAATATAGTTATTTTCTAAAACTTTAATTAAACTTCTTCTCGAAATCAATTATTGTTAATAATTTTTCTAAAGTTCTTCGAGAATCAAATTATTTAAATATAAAAAATTCAATTTCTGATAATGATCATTATTGTAATTGTTTAGTTTCATTTCTAAAATTATGAAGGTGAATTATTGAAAATGTAACGGGAAATATTTAAAATAATTGAATTTTAAAAAATGATACTAAAAAAATTCTAAGAATTAGTTTTCAAAAAATATTTTAACATAATTTTTCTAAAATTTTTGTTTGTAAGTGAATTTTTAAGAGAATTTTTGGACATCTTAAATGCAAAAAAAAAATGCTTAAAATTGAAATTTTAAAATCCATTTTTTTATTAAATTTCAATTAAAAATTTTTTAAATAATTGATTTCTCTAAAATGTTTAAAATTTGTTTTTTTTTCTTCGAGAAAAATATTTTCTTCAATCGTTGACCAAAAACGTTGTGAAATTCGCCGACGTTTTTGTAAGAGAAGTCGAAAAAGATGCATTTTTTGAAAATAAGTCGAGAAAAACTAGCTTTTTTTTAAAAACAGATGAAAATTGTCCGCAAAATGTCAATAATTAATTGAATTGAAAAATTCAATAATTAATTGAATTGAATAATTAATTGCATTAAAAAATTAAATAATTAATTGAATTGAAAAATTTAATAATTAATTGAATTAAAAAATTCAATAATTAATTGAATTGAAAAATTCAATAATTAATTGAATTGAATAATTAATTGCATTAAAAAATTAAATAATTAATTGAATTCAAAAATTTAATAATTAATTGAATTAAAAAATTCAATAATTAATTGAATTGAAAAATCCAATAATTAATTGAATTGAATAATTAATTGCATTAAAAAATTCAATAATTAATTGAATTGAAAAATTCCAATAATTAATTGAATTAAAAATTCAATAATTAATTGATTTAAAAAATGCAAAAATTAATTGAATTAAAAAATTGCAATAATTAATTGAATAGAAAAATTCTATAATCAATTGAATTTAAAATTTCAATAATTAATTGAATTTTGAGTCAATTCGAAAAAAAATTGAATTTCTAATAACAAAATAAAAATTTTCAGGACGTTTTGGAATTGAAGCAACGCGTAGAGAGTCTCGGTGGACGATCCGTTGACGGAATGGAATCCACGTCAAGCCAATGGGAATTGGAATTGCAAGCGAGTATGAAAAAATTAAATGAAATATCCCTGGGCAAGGGAAATAATAATTTTACCGATGATAATAACGAGGCACTCGATAAATTATCAACACTCGAGAAATTAACAAAAAATAATGATAATGAACTTGTGAAATTTGATTCACAACCAGCAACAAGATTTTCCCTAAATTATCAAGGCTGGCAATCGTTGGCGCAAAGTCCAATTAATTCGATATTCAATAAATCGAAAGACGCCCTGAAAAATAGTATTTCAAAATCATTAAGTAATAGTCCAGTGAATATGAAACAATTCACCTTCAGTAGAGCAAAACTCGAGAGACAGCAGAGCGTCGATAAATCAACAATCACCAACGACGATGATGATAATAATAAAGAATCTCAAAATATCACCAATTCTTCCAATTTACAATTAGTAGAAAAAAAATTACCATCGAATATTATCGATGATAATGATGAAAAATTGCAAAAAAATTCAAGTCACGTTGATTCTGAAAAAAAATCCCAACACACTGATAATAATTCAAGAACGGAAAAATCAGATATTAAAAAAGTACAAATAACACCAACGATGGTCGATAAAAATTTTACAACTCACAGTTTAAGTTCATCGCCAGTGAAAAGAAATTATCTCTTCAATTCAAAATCAACAAAATCATTAGACATTAATCGCGAATTGTCATTAAATGCTAATGAGGAGTTTAAAAAACCAAACTGCCCATCGAAAGAATTACCTCTACTTTCAATATTTCGTAATTCATTCGGTATGTCAAAGGATAAAAGTTGTAGTATGATTGATTTGGGCGACAAACAAAATTTAAAGGGTCTATTCGAAAATTCGAGTAATAAAAATTTACAAACAGTGAGTGTCGAAAGACTGGCAAATGCGAGGCATAAATTAATGTGCACCGATAATTGCGAACTCAAAATTACTCAATAAGAAATTTAAGATACGAAAAAAAGACGCCTAAATCGAGTGAAACAAAAAAAAATGTGATACAAGTGTTTGAAAGTTTATAATATTTAAATAAGAAGGTAAGACAACAAAAAAATGGTAAAACTTGCCGCGCAGTAAACATGACAACGTACCGAAAATGTTATGAGGTAAATTAGTTTTTACTAAATGGAAAAAATGCGATGACGATATTGAGGAGCGATATTTAAAAATATTTATTTATAATTTCCGAACTCTTCTTTTTTTGAGAATCTCGTGAAGGAAAAAGATATTTTTTAAAAAGTATCATAAACTAAAAAAAAAAACGAGGCTTAAAGTCTCGATTTTATTAGTGCCAATTTTTAACTTCTGCACCAGGTGCAGAATTATTTCAATAATGCCTTTTTTTGAAAAAAAAAAAAAATTAATTTTTTTACACTCAGAGAAAAGAAAGAAGAGAGAGAAAATAATTACCAAATTTTATAAACGTAGATTTTAGGAAAAGTGTGGAAAAATTTTCCAATTCGAAAAAAAGGAAAAAATATACGAAACATTTTTAGAATGTTACATAATTTGGAAAAAGTAATTAAAATCAAATTTTAGATTCAAAATCAAATTAAAATATTAAAAATTGACTGCAACGTATTCTAATTTAAAGTGATTTAATTTTAAATTTGATTGTCAATTTTAAAAATAATAACAATGAAAACAAAAAATAGTTAATTTAATTAAATATATTTAAATTTGGTTCGAAATATTTCAACTTCGAATTTTAATATTAAAAATCAGATTTAGAAATTAAAACCTAAAATTTAATTAATTAGAATATAATTCATTACATTTTAAAATTATCAAGTTTCAAATTTGATTAGTAATTTTTAAATTAATAATTAATAAAAATAACAAGTCAATAATGAATTTTAAAGCTCCAGTATTTTAGATTTTATTCAAAATATTCGAAATTAAAACTTGAATATTAAAACTCAAATTTAAAAAATTCAAATTTGAATTTTTATTATTGAAAATATAATTTATTCCAGTTTAAAATGATCAACTTTCGAATTTAATTTGAATTCAATTTATTTTATTCAATAAATAAATAAATAAAAATAAATTGATAACTTTTAAGTTAATAAAAATAAAAAAATTTTAAACTAGAAAGGAAATTTTCGAAAATTCAAATTTTAAATTTAATTAATAGAAATTAAATTTATTCTAATTCGAAATGATCAAATTTAAAATTGAATTATTTATTTTAATTATATTTAAAATAATCGAATTTAAAATTTTATTATTGAATATTCTAAATATGATTCAAAATATTCAAATTTTAAATTGAATCTTTTTGAAAATTAAAATTATGAAAATCAACTTTAAAATTTGAATATGTATTTTGAATTTTAAATATTTCAAAGTATTCAAATTTAGAAAATTCAATTTTTAAATTTAATTGTTTGTAATATTGAATATTTTAAATACAATTCAAAATATTCAAATTTTAAATTATAATTTTAAAAATCAAATTTAGAAAATCCAATTTTTAAGTTTAATTCTTTACGTTAATTAAAAATAAAACAATCGAATTTAAAATTATATTATTTGTAATATTGAATATTTTAAATATCTACGATTCAAAATATTCAAATTAAAAATTTTTATTTTAAAAATAAAATTTAGAAAATCCAATTTTTAAATTTAATTCTTTACGATAATTAAAAATAAGACAATCGAATTTAAAATTATATTATTTGTAATATTGAATATTTTAATAACGATTCAAAATATTTTAATTTTAAAACTCAATTTTAACATTGAAAATCAAATTCAGAAAATTCAGTTTTAAAATGTAATTAATTATGTTAATTGAAAATAAAATAATCGAAGTAAAAACTTTGATTATTTGTAATATTAAGTATTTTAAATACTATTCAAAATTTTAATTAATTTAATTTAATCAGAGTCAAATAATTCTAATAATAATCAAATTTTAAATTAGAATATTTATAATAATTCATAAATTTTAAATTTAAATATTTAAATTTAAATAAGACCTTTTTAATGTAAATATTAAAAAAATTATAATTGTCAACTTATATAATTAAAATATAATCCAAAAATTTCTATTTCAAAAAATATAAAATACAAAATGTAACTAAAAAAAAAACTCCGATCAACACTGGTGCTAGTTTCGTGTAAATAAATCAAAAAAATAAAAAAATTCTCCACACTTTTCCAAAATCACAAAACATATTTAAAAATTTGTTAACTATTTTCCAAACTATAAACAAAAAGAAATATTTTCTTTCTAACTAAAACTGTTCTCTTCTTATCTCATTTACTAAATAATCTAATGTCTGTTAACGTTAGATATAAAAAAATATTATTACAAGTTTAAAAAAAAAAGAAAAAAAATACAAAAATATCCTATTCTCAAAAAAATAAAATAAAAAAAAAATTTATAGAAAGTCGAAACTTTCATTGTTAAATGTAAGTTGAACAAATAACAATAATTGTGTTCTTAAACATGATTTTCAAACTATTATTAACAAACTTTTTGTAGTCAACTTTTAACGAACAAAAATGTCTTATTACTTTATTTTTTTTTTTTTGACAGAATTACCAAATTTAATATATTATAACAATAATTATAATTCATTTTAATTAGAAATATAAACTGTAAAGAAAATTAATTCTTAAAACTTTTAACGCCTGTTACAAAATATTTCAAAGAAATTTCGACGAAGAGATTTAAGGACTTCGTTATAAAAAAAAAATGCTCAAAATTTACTATTCGTTGGCAATCACTAAACGAATGATTATATCTATGTGATAAAAAAACACGCAAGTTCAGCTTATAATGTTAAAAAAAAACATTTATAAATTGATAATTAAAATTGTTAATTAAATTATTCAGTTTAAAATAATCAAATTAAATTGCTAGATAATTATTCATTGTAATTATTAATTAGTAATTGGAATAATAATTAGTAATTGCAGTTAATTATTAAAAATTGTAATTAAAAATTAGTAATTGTAATTATTAATTAGTAACTGTAATTATTAATTAGTAATTGCAATTATTAACTAATAATTATAATAATTAATTAGTAATTGTGATTATTGAATAATTATTGAAATTATTAATTGAAAAAATACGATAAAAACAGTTTTTGATAATTCATTAGTACTTGATGATAAATATTCACTATTGAATTTAGTTATTGATAACTAATATTATCAACCGAATAATTAAATTACAAAAAAAATTAAAATCAAAACTATTAATTTGTGTATAATTAAATGATTAATAATTAAAATTATTAATTTGAAAGAAATAATTTTCATTTAAAAATTTAGAGAAAATAATAAAGCGAACAGGTGATTTTGTGTCAAAAGCTAAAATACTTCCCCCAATAATTTTCGTTGTAAATAAATAATTGTTTTTATTTTCTTTGACTTGTGCAACAAGTTAATTTAAATCGAGGGATATACTATTATTTTTTAACCACTTAACTATTGACAGTTTCTTGCCAATAAAAAAAAAATAATGGTATTCGTATTATCAAAAATTTAATTCTGTCAATGAAATTCCTCCGGCAATCGACGACATTTATGTAAATAGTTTTGTGATTTTAGCGCGCTTAATAAAATACTGATTATTGTACACAAAAATCCTAGTTAAATATAATAATCAAAAACTATTTCTTCGATTTGTAAAATATAAGTTTGGTTATTTTGTAGTTTTCTATATATATATGAAAGGCATTGATTTTGGAAGTTAATCATACCAAAAACGAAAAAAAAAATTATATTTGTTTTAATCGAATTTTCATCGTTAATGATTTTTTAAGAACAATTCTTTTCAAATGATTTTGGAAAATTATTTTTTGAACAAATTGTTTTTAAAACGATTATTAAAAATATTTTTAAAATAATAATTTTCAAAAATATAATTTCAAAAATATATTTTTTTTTTAATAATAATGTAAGAGAATATAATTTCAAAATTATATATATTTTAATAATAATTAAAAATTCTAATTTTTTTAAAATGTAATTTTAAAAATATAATTTCAAAAATATAATTTTAAAAATATAATTTCAAAAATATAATTTTTAACAATATAATTAAAAAAAATGTACCATCAATTTTCAAACGAAATTGAACCTTTGCTTGTTTATACGTAAAATTTTCACATCAAAGGTTCAATTTCCATAAATTTAAAATTCATCGTTTCATTACAAAAAAAATAAAAAATAAATAAAATTTCCAACACAAAATCGATAAAAAAAATTCTTGAAACATATTTTCTCGAGACAACTGCTATATTGAAAAAGTAAAAATGCAAAAATTATTCTCAAAAATTTAAGGAAAAAAGAAAAAATTATTCTGAGAAAATTTTTAAACGATGAATTTCAAAATCATATTGCATTTAGAGAAAACTAATGAAAATTCTATTTTTTAGTTTAAAATATTTTATTTTGTATCAAAACAAAATGTTTTTTTTTATACTTTTTATGCCGAGTGTGATTATAATGATTCATTAAAGCAAAACGAAATAGTTTTTAAGATAAAACTAAGTTACTGCTATCAATTCGACTATGTGTTTGAAACACAGTGATAAATAAAAAGAAAAAAAAAGAAAAAAAAGCAACGTAATAATAATGTTATCTGATTGTAGTCTGATCTCTCTAAATGACAATCCTTCTATCCTAATTTATTTAAATAACCAATTTTAATAAAAAAAATGAAATAAAGAAATATAAAATTAATTTTAATAATTTCAAAAAAGAATTAAATAAAATTTTTAACTTTTAAAAAATTTATTTTTAAAAATTTTAAATGAAATAAGAAAAATACATTAAAAATCAGTTAATTAATAACTCCATAACTTCTTTGCAATGTTAAAAAAATTAAAAGTTCAATATTCGGGAAAATTAGTTTAATATTAAATTTAAATAAATTTATTTCTTTTCATTATTATTATTATCACCGTGTGGTATTATTTTATTTGTATAATAATAATTATAATTTTTAATAATAATTATAATTTTTATATTGATATATTATCATTTAATTATAAATAATTTGTATTATTTATAAAAAAAATTAATTAGTTAATTGCATATTAATAAATTTATTTGTCAATAATAAATCAACCTTTATCTATTGATTTATTAATTAATTGATTATTAAAAAATTAATAAATAAATTCGTCGTATCATAAAAATTTCCTAGAAAAGAATTTTTTTTCCGTATCTTAAAAATATATTTTACTGCATAAAATAGGAAATTTTATTTTTCAATTCCAAATTTTCTAATAGACAATAGGTAGTTGTCATTACTATTATAATTGCAAAAAAATGTGAATTTTAAAAAACTCATTGATTCCCTTCAAAACAAAAGAAAAATTTCTCTCTCATCTACAACTTCAAATAGCAGAAAATCAGGTAACAAAATTTTTGTCTTTCGTTTTGTCAAAATGTCCCTTCAGTGATAATTTTTAAAAGTATATTCAAATAATCACTTTTAATTGTAAATTTAAAAGAAATTGTTCTATTATAATCATTACCTAGCAAGAAATTTGGAGAAATTAATAAAATTCCCTGTCAAAAATTATTTATTAGCAACTTTAGGAGAAATGAATAACATCACAAAATTTTCTGTACGATAAATGTTGGTAAATATTATTGTGTCATTAGCTCAAATTGTAAACAACAGAAAATATCATTTAAAATAACAACAAAATTGTACAACATCGTCATCAATATTATTATTATTACTATAGTATTATCGTCATTGTCCAGAAGTTCGTGAGCTCAAAAACACACGACAGAGTCTAAAGGTTATCGAATTTTAATCTTCAGATAACAGATGAAAAACTCTAATAGGAATGGAAAAAACGGATCGAATTACTATTAAAAAAAATAACGAGACGTTTGAAAAAAATAATTACAAAGGACGTGATACAACTTCTCAAGTAATGTGACATTTTCTTCTTTTTCTCAAATTTTTTTTTATAAAGTGTAGAAACTTCTTTTTAAAGCATTTCAAAAAAAAGAAATTTTACTGTTTCTTTTCTTTATTATTTCAAGTGTTTCTCTTTGAAAAATCTATTTTGTTTTCAAGAATTTAATTTCTTTTAACTATCAGAAATATTAAAGTATTAAAAATTAAAACATTAAAAGTATTAAAGTCTTTTATTTATTTATTTATTTATTTATTTTGTAATACCTGTAATGCCATGTAATTCCCAAAGTATTTAAAAAGAAATTTCTAAAAAGCTGCTTCAAAATTTAAAACAAAATTTTCAGTTCCAAAAAAAGGGGAAGGCTGGTTTAATTTTTTTTCGGTACAATTTTTAGATTCCAGTTATTCCAGTGCCTAGAGCAAGATATCCAAGAAATGATAAAGAGATGCGCGATTATAAGAGGCTAGATACTGCCGATAATGGTGATAATGATGATGAGGAAGAAGATGACAGGTCAAGTGATCATCTAGTGAACTCGGGATTAATTTGTGCCGCTTGTCATGTCAGTGTCAGTTCCACGAATCTCAGAGATAATAACATCAATTATGAGCAAGCACTTGCTTGTTCACATGGACATTTTCTTTGTCATCGATGCGTGCAACGTTTCGCCATTCGACCCGGTAACTTCATTCAGAAATTGCAATTTTTCAATAAATTTTTTCGATTTTTGAATCTTTTCTATAAATTAAACGAAATAACATTCAAAAACAAAAAGCACAAAAGTCTGCTAATTATGATAATTAGTTGTTAAGTAGTCCCACCGCTGCCACCAGATTCGAAATAGTTACATGAATTCACTAACAAGTCATCAAAGTGTAGATAATTTTACAAAAATATTCGGAAAGTCTGCATTAATTACCCTTTTTGTTGTTTCATCTGCTAATTACAATGTCAAACCGAAATGTAGTCCCACCGCTGCCACCAAATTCGAACTATTTACATGAATTCATTAACATGTCATCGAAATCAAAATAATGTAGCAGAAATATTTGTAAAAACCACTAACAAGTTCTGTTGTGGTCATATTTTTTGAAGCACTAGGAAAAATAACTAATTTAGAAGCAGAGTTAATCACAAGTTCCTCTTTTTTTTTTATCTAAACTAGAATTCTGCTAAATAATCCGACCGCTGTCACCAAAATCCCAACTCCACAGTATTACAGAATCATTACTACAAACCAATCAGAATAACTAAACACAGTAGAAATAGTAAATAATCCTACCAAAAAAGAATTTCACAAATAGAAAAGAAAGACTAGAAATTAAAATTCAATTATTAATCAACAGTAACTAATATTCTTCAAAAAAGAAAAACTAATCATTTCTCAGATATAGGCTGCCTAATTTGTGCGACAGAATCCCAAAATTCGCCATATCCACAAAACAATAATTACGACGCAAGTTTGGAACCGATTCAGAGTAAATCTTCCATGCTACAACAGAAACGACCAGATGAGATTTATCCCTGCCAACGAAATCGTTATGCACCGAATTTATCAACCGGAATCGGCAAAATGCAAAACACTGTAATCAACAATGCAAAGACGATAAACTCAATTTTCGAATATGGAACAACAGATCATGGCGACACGAGGGAGGATCGTTTAATATACGAGAGCAGAATGCAACGAAAGAGCTATTGCAATCTAATGAGACGCGACGAATCGAGCCCATCAAATACCGATCTAAAAATTAATTGTCACATGATTCAGGAATGTTCACGACGACCGATACGATGTCCACGTCTTGATTGTGCACGAACTGTTGCTCTCTCAGCTCTGACTCATCATTTTTTGTTCGATCATCCCGAGGTGCCTGTGTTTAGTGTCGAACCTGGCGTTAAAAATACTCTATTGGTCAGTTTTTCGTCTCTTACCTACGGCTCGTCGAGGTGTCTTGCACTGTTGCTCGTCTCTGGAAAAGTATCGTGAGTTTTTTGCTTATTCGGTTTCTTTACTATTTCTTCTGCTACTATTTCTACTATTGTTACTGCTATTATTAATGCTACTACTACTATTTCTGCTTCTACCACTATTGCAATTCAAATCATCCTAACTGGAAATTTAGGGGCGCTGCAGCGACACTATTTAGTGGAAATCAGCTTCATCCGAAATACAGAAATCGTTTACCACTACCGGTACTGGCGGCTCGTTTGAAGATCATCGATCAGCTGAATTGTCAGGACGAGACAAAAGCTGGAGGTGAGGGTCCTTCCTGTGGCGATATCATAATAGCCTGGATTGCCGGTCTCGATTTATCAGGCTCATCCTCTGGAGCATTACGCTGCAGTATTCAAGTAATTTACAAAAAAAAACTATTCAAAATTATCCGGAAGACATTTGTTAGATTCAAATAACAAAAGAAGATTCGTATCTTTAGTTTTAGAGTAGGCTACAAATAATTAGTCTAACCTAATTATTTTCATCCAAGAACCTTCGTTCTAATTTCCTAATTATGTTCATCCAGGAACGAAGGTTCCTGGATGAACATAATTAGGAAATTAGACTAAACTAATTAAGTTAAAATAACAATTCTTCATTAAATTACAGGCAGTCGATGGTTTACAATCGGAAGTAATCCGATCGTTAACGTACTGTGGACCAATTAATTCCCTCAGACGAGCTCAACGTCCACACGATATCTTTATGGCCGGTGATTGCGTTGTTCTTCATGAGGGACTCGTCAATCAACTTTCGTCTGGATGCGACAATTTCATAGTCAACGTGATTGTCCATTGAAACGTCTAAATTCCACAAATATTTCGTCTCCAAAGTTTCTGTTCTCATTCGGCAAGTACATAATTAATCTACAAACTGATCCTAGCAAATGAACACTAAGTAGTAATTTAAAACAATAATAATCACAGCTTTTTATTTCTACTTCGGTAAATCCCGATTCGAAGTCCAATCGCAATTCCGATTGGAAATCGCAAATGGAGGAAATTGTAAACTTCGGGTCTGTTCGTGCAGCTTCGGTTTCGATCTAGACACGAACATGTACGAACCAAACGTTTCGGCGTTGATCGTGTCAAGTTCGTCGAACCCGAGAAAACACGAACGAAAAATTTCGACTTTCGTCGAATATGTAAAAAATCAAAAATAGAGAAAAACCAACATGTCTCTATAGAAAAGTGTATATTATCTCGAAAATTATAAAAGTACGGGAGATACAAAATTTATATATATATATATTTATATATTTATATTTATATAAACGACTATTAATATTTATAGACTTGTCATAGCTGGAGGACGGGCATAGGCCTTGGGAATGAAACCATATTTTCGTGTTTTCGGGGCATACGCCCAAAGCCAACCATCCACCGTTTGATTACCGAGATCAGCATAAATCCAATCAGCACGTCTCACGGATAAATCGTCCGGCGCCTGCGCCTTGTAATCATAAAGCACAACTAATTCCGTTCCAGTGGTCTCATCACGAAAATCCCTCAAATCTTTTTGCTGCAACTGCTCACTTCCTGAGACATTACCATTGCTAGCTCCTGGCATTTTAATAAATCATTTATTTATTTATTTTTGTTTGTTTGTCATTAGAATTAATAAGTAAACGTATACTGTAAATATGTAAACAAAGAATAAATGACAATTGTCTAACCTAATCCGTGTGGATCACCAGGTGTGGTTGTCGTCGTTGTTGTGGTCGTCGTTCCCGTTGTTATTGCCGCATAGGAATGAAGTACATGACCCGGATAAACGAAACCAGATGGCACAAAACCTTCATTACCGTCACAATGTCGTAGAACCCAAAACCAATCGGGATCGTCTCGATTCAATACAGTGACGAATTCACCTCTCTCAACGCTCACGTCATTCTCATCACGTGCAACGAATGTGTACAAAACGATGTATCTTCCAGCCGAGGGATCCTAAAACAAATTCTCTTTAACTTTGATACTAATATTTATTCAGCAATATTCATATTTTTTTTCAACTTCATATTTACAAATTAAGACAAATTTAATACAAAATAAGCATATACCTTAAAGAAAGGATGCACATCCGGTTGAGACTGGGTTGTCTGTATGGAATTCTGCGATTGGGATACATTGGAACGATTAACATTGATGTCGGCTGTTGTGATATTTCTTGCATAGCTCTCGCAGTCGGATGCTGAACCAGTGTCGGTCTGTTGGGCGTCCATACCCTGCGATCTTCCGGTACTTGATAAATCGCCCTCGTTATCATTCGAGCGGGGCAATTTTTTCTTCACATTATTCATTAGTGTGGCTAATGTCGATTCAGCGAGTTGCGATGTATACGGAGCACAATACGAATGGGGAACGAAACCCTCCATTCTTGTGTCGGCCGCTATCACATAAACCCAGTCGTTCTCCCTGTAGAGGACATTCACGATCTGTGTTCGGAATTCAAGAAGAGAATATTAATCATTTGTTGGGTGGTATTTAGGTTTCTTTTTGGTTAGTATTTAGTGATTAGAAGTAAATTCTTGCTGGCCAGTATTTAGTGATTAAAAGCAGTTTCTTGTTAGCTAGTATTTAGGGATTAAAAACAGTTTCTTGTTAGCTAGTATTTAGGGATTGAAGACGGTTTCTTGGTAGCTAGTATTTAGGGATTAAAATCAGTTTCTTGTAAGCCAATATATTTAGTGATTAGAAACAGTTTCTTCTCAGCTAATATTTAGTGGTTAAAAGCGGTTTCTTGCTAGCCAGTAGCCAGTACCTATAGTGTTTATTTGTTAGGTCAGCATTCAATGCCAAAAATAGCATTTTTTTTCTCGGCTGTTAGTACAAAACCTACAATTAATTCAGCACTAATTAAAGAAAATTTTCAACCTGTCCTCTTTTGACTTGAAGTTCATCGTCCACACACGGAGTGAAATCGTGAATGATGACCATTTTACTATCAGGCGAGAGTCCGTTTTCCTTTTCGATTCCAACTCGAACTAGAGTTTCTATACTGGCACTTCCTGTTATTCGTCCAGGAGGCAATGGCACTCTTGTCCCCATACCCAAACCCCCGACTCCATCTTTCTCCAAATTAAAATTATGCACCCCAGCTAAAATCAGAAAAATTACACCAATCAAGGGGGACTGTGACAGAATTAGTTACAATTTTTTTTCTAATCAATCCAATTTTCTCTTTAAGCCGAATTTGCATCATTATTATTTTTATCTATCAAAATAGTTTTCTCTATCAAGAACTAAATTTATCTTTTTTCCAAAGCATTTTTTTTTTGTTCCTTCGCACTACAGCAGAGATTCGAATGTCATTTTGCCGGATTACAAAAATTGTCAACTCGTTTCGATCTCGTGTCTTCTTCCTTTTCTGTAAATACAAGTACGTGAACATTAAAAACCCCGTTATACCTTTGGTACAATCATTTTCAAAACTAAGTGAAAGATATCCCCTACTGTTTAATAAGGTAGAATTTTCATTTCTTCAAATTTATTCCCCTTTGGGGGAAAGTGCCCCCCCCCCCTTTGGGAAAATAGTACTTTTCTTTCTAAATTTACAATTTTCGTAATTGTTTCATTCTTTTGTATAAATACTGTATATAATCGGAGAATGACATTCGAACGCTCTGTAGAGTATAACTTTCTGTTAAAGTGACTGGGGTTCAAAAAAGATCATCGATCCTTGAAATATATAAGCAACAGGTAGACGCAGGAACCCACGAGAAAAAGGATGGCTTTCTCTCTCTCTCTCTCTTTCTTTCTCTATATACACGTATATAGAAAATCCAAAAATACTTACGTTTCTTCTTCTTACCACGACGAATACGCACAGGACATAAGAAAGCCATTTTTTTTGCACTCGTTCCGGTCTTTGACGTGTGTTCTTACATTTCCCACGGGCACTAGGTCACATTATATACAACACAGTTCACCTGGGGACGAAAAACTTAACGTCCCGAACAAAAGGATATTTAACATTTGTGATCACAATATTTTCAATAATAAACCACACATACGGTGGTTTTTCTTCTTTTTTTTTAAAATACAGGTTGTAATATTTCTCTCGTTTCTTGTGTTTTATTTTCTTTTTTCCCTTTTTTTTCGCGAAGGTACGCGTTTTACGACACTAGACGAAGATGACTGGACCACTTGGGACCGACGATCGGATCTTTCGATCGCGAACACCTGTGATCATCGGCGACGAAAAGTACAACCTGTGTGTGCGTGTAAGGTGCCACTGGCCCTGTATTGGTTACTTCAGGGCCGGTTCGACAACTTCCGCACCCTCAGGTCATTTAAAATATAATACCTCTATACAAATAGTAACAAAAAAAAATAATGATACTAACACTGCAAGTGATAAATTCAATAATGATGATTAAAAAAAAGGATATAAAATAGAAACGATAGTAACAAAAATAATAGTACCTAATTATAATTACTATTGTTGTAAAATACTGCAATTGTGTCGATAATAATAATAATAATAATAATAATAATAATAATAATACATTTTTTTTAAATAAAAAAAAATAATAAATTTTTGACTTTTTTCACCCTTGTTCCTTAATATTTATTAATTCAAAATAAGTTAGTTCCAATTGACAAATAATTTAATTTCTGTTTCATAAAATTTACTTCAATGGAAAAAAGTTTCACCAGAACAGATTTAATGTTTCTCTAGAACAACGAAAGTCTTCATTAAAACAATTAAAAAATTCGCTAATGTAGTGAAATTTATTGTCGTTCCAAATGACAGTTTTTTTCGTATTGAATATACGGGAAATATTTTTAAAACAAACGGTTTATAGGAATTTTATCCAAAAAAAAGCTAAAACTTATCCAAAATTCCTTTATTTCTCAATAATAGTTTATAAATAATTTTTGTATATTTACTTGAACCACTAAATTTTATATTTTGCAACTTATTTCTTTCTGGCTCAGAATTTTACCCACCAAATAGTTTTTTATACAGTTTTTAAACTTTTAAATAAATAATATTTTTCTATAAATTGAAAAAAAATATTACAAAATTTTGTTAAAAAAAATTGTAATGGCTATGAACGAAATTATTTTTCTGTTTAAATATATTTTCGAAAAACTGCTAATTAGAAAAATGAAAAATCAAATTATTTACTTCGTTAGGAATTAATTTTTTTAAAACCTGCCTAAAAACTATATTTTCCATAATAAAATTCAAAATTTGAAGAAGTTAGCAAATAATCATTGATTTGTTCTATAAATTTTAGGGTCATAATTTGCAAAAGAATTCTTACAAATATTTAAAAATAATATTTTTTAATATTTGAAAAAAAATGTCTTAATGCTTAAAAAAATAAAATATTGTTTAATACTTAAAAAAATATTTAAAATATTTTTAAAAATATACGAAATAGTTTTAAAAATATACAAAATATTTTTATAAAAATTAACAAGATGTAAAAATTAATCTTCTTTTTGAAAATAAATTAATAAATATAAACATTATCAGAAAGACGAATTTTTTTTACATTTAATATAAATGAAAATTTATTTATTTTAAAATAGAGTTAAATTTTGAATTTGTGATATTTTCTCTAAATTAAATTTTACTTGTATATATAAAAAATAAAAGGATGATTAAAAAATAAATAATTTTCGCATATCCTCTCTCCTTCTCTCTCTCTCTCTCTCTCTCTCTTTTGTCAGAGTGCAAGTCTCTGCATCTGGTTTTGTATTCTTTTCGAGTCTCTCTTCTATATAGTCGTTGACCTGACGCATAGGAGGCGCTGTCCCAAACGAAAAGAGAGAGAATGAGAGAGAGAGGGACAATCACTGAGAAATAATGTGGGAGAGAAAAAGAGGAAAATAATCAACCAAGGGGGTCTCTTCTTGAGTGTACATATACAAAAACACTCACAAATACTTGCAAAAAATTTTATATATGTATATGTACACAAAGGATGGCAGAATTTTTTTTTTATAATTCACTCCTTTTAATACAAACACGAGAAAAATTTAATGTCGATTATCGTGAGATTAAAATTCAATTTTTATTATAATTTTTTTTAAAGTATTTTCTTCGAAAAATTATTTTTTGGAACAAATAACATTTTTAAATAATCATTTATTAATTATATAAATATTCAGTATTTTTTCTTCTCGAATTTTTAAATAAGAATAATTCTAAAGTTATCAAAGTTCAAATAAACGAAATTTTTTTAATTCTTCTTTAAATTAAAATTTATAACAATAAGTTTTCAAGTAGTGTCAAGAAAAATTAATCCTAAAGTTTCTAAATTTATAAAATTACGTTTTGAATTTTTTTTTTTTGCAATCAGTAGTTTATAAAAATATTTTCAATAAAAAATTTGCTAACACTATCAAGAAAAATTAATTTTTAAGTTTCTAAATATAAAATACGATTTTAATTTTTTTTTCAATCAGTAATTTTATAAAAATATTTTATATTTATTTTCACACTTTTCTTTCTTTTATTTAAAATTGAGAAATTAAATTAAAACAAATAAGATTTTTAAACAAATTACTATTATTTAAAAATTAAATCAACCTTTTTATAATTTAACTGTAATTAATGATAATAATTAATTATTAATTAATATAAACATTCGTGCAAATTAACTAATGTACAATATAAGTGAAATAAAATGATCCACAGTGTTTTCAACTTTCAAATAAACAAATAATTGTTTATTAAAAATATTTTTTTATAAATTACTGATTGAAATAAAAATTAAAAACATAAATTTTTCTCTTTAGTTACATTGATAATTTAATTTTGCAATACTGACGCAAAATTATTGCAATAAAATATTAATTTAAAGAAGAAATAAATAACATTCGCTCATTTAAACATCCATAACTGTAATAAATAAAATTTTGTGAAATAAAATTTAAAGTAAAGCAATACAAACATAATTTAAATATGTTTTATACTATTTGATTCATTTATTTACTAATTAATTTATGAATTTATAATTTTTATTATTTAATACTATGTAATAAGTAATATTAAATAATGTAGTAAACAAAATTATTTCTAATTCGAAAGAATTCGATTTAAAATTTCTCCTGTAAAAATAGGAGTAAAAAATGATATTAATGATAATATATATTTTATATTAAATAAATAATTATTACAAGAATTAACAAAATCATAATTTCTACCAAAAAAATTCAATGCTATACTTTAAATCCAATAAACAGAATTAAAAAAATATAAAATTGAAGAAAATTGATACACAATATATTTTCATATTTTGCTACAAAAAAAAAAAAAGAAATAATATATTTATTGAACAAAAGAAATAAATCTATTTTTATTATGGCTTGCAGTTATTGGGGAAAAATCAATCAGCCCCTTTTTGACAGTTTAAACAAAAAAAGGCAAATAAAAAAATGCATTAAAATTTCAACAATTGAATGCATAAGGCAATGAGTACGTTGTGGTTCCAATTTTAGAAAAAATCAATACCGCAGAGAAAATATTGAATAAGCTTAGAGTAATGCCTTTTTATTAAATTTTTTGATAATCTCTTACTGAATATATATAAATTCTTTTTTTGAAACCTTTTTTTCTTGATTATCTAATCTAATAATAATAATAATAAAAATTGGACCAAGAAAGAAAAGATAATTCTATACAGTTTTTTTAATTTCCAAAAAAATATTTCATTTGCTAATTTCAATTTCAATTTCGATTTAAATTGTGAACTGTTAATTTCAATTGTCAATTTCAGTTATTAATTTCAATTTTAATTGTAAATTTTAATTTTATTTGCTAATTTCAATTTCAATTGTTAATTTCAATTTCAATTTCGATTTAAATTGTGAATTGTTAATTTCAGTTGTTAATATCAATCTCAATATTGTAAATTTAATTTCAATTGTGAATTTCAATTTCAATTGTGAATTTTAATTGTGAATTTCAATTTTAATTGTAAATTTCAATTTCAATTGTGAATTTCAATTTCAGTTTCAATTATTAATTGCTAATTTAAAACTCTATCCTAAAATTTACAATAAAAAATGTTTAAAAAATTGAAAATATAAACAAAACTAAATAAAATATTTAGTATCAAAATATATTATTTAAAATTATTTATAGGTAAAATTATTTAAAAAGAATAAAAAGATGTTAAATAATGTAACAAAAATAAATAATAATAATTATAATAATAATTAGTAATAAATAGGTTGATAAAGACATAAACCACAAATTTTTGTACTTTCACTTTGCACTTTGTATTTAATGACACTATAATATTTTTCTTTTTATATAACAATGGAGATTTTTTTCTTCAATTAATTATATATATATATGTATATATATATATACGTAAAATAAAAAACAATTGTAACCCTTTTTTTTAAATTTTCATTATCAATGAAAATCTGATTCAATATTTTATTGAAAGACGAAATAAATATATATGTATGTATGTGCAATTTTAATAAGAAAATAAACTATTGACAATTGCGCAACATTTACGAGTATGCACTAAAAAAAAAAATAAAATAAAAAAAAAAGAAAAACCATTTTTACCCACAAAAAATTAGTTCAAAATTATGCGGGTTTACATACGTAATTTCAAAAAACGAAAAAAAACTAAAAAAAAAACAAAGCCTATAACTTAAGGGTTTTTTTATAAGTTAGAATCACTGGTTACATGTATATTTATATATATATAGTAATTAAGAATAATTATTTGCACTAGATTTCTGTATGCGATTACATTTTCATACATATTATGCATTATAAAAACTTTCATCACAAATTTGTAGGCATTCACGCCAATTGCAGGTACTAATGTTAAGTAATAATTTTTTAAAAAAAGAAAAAAGACATTATTTGAATTTTCGAATCGAATTAAAAGAAAAACCATGAAACGCTCATGATGTCGATGAAGGGGGCAAAGAGGGGGAAGTGAAAACAATTTTCTAAAAAAAAAAGAAATTAAAAAACATTTTGGAAACTACACACAATGTCGTCTCGGAACAATATATATATATTTATATATAATCAAACGAGAGCTATCGTCTACCGACTGTGTTTCAATAGTTTATTTTCTTTAACAATATTTATAATTATCTACAAATATAAGTCGCGGTAGATAATGCTTCTTACGTGTAGTATACATTCAAAATGTCATCTCACGACCGAAATTATTGATTCACTTTTATTTCCCAAAAAAAAAAAATTCTTTCCTTCTCTTTTAGAATTCTTTCAAATCAAAATGTCATCATCACA